AACATGCTTTATAAAACACCCATAGCACTATACCCACAAAGCACAGAGCTAAAACCATGTAATCTTTCTCTCCAGTGTTTTTAAGGTATAGTGAACAGAAAATTTTAGCACATATTATGATTTGATGTTCTGTTCAGGAATTTAACATTGCTTAAATGGTACAAAATAATGAATCTTAAAAGCAAAGCATATGGTGGGTCTGGTGGCTCACACCTATAATCCCAGAAATGGGGAGGCTGAGGCAGGAGGATTTTTGCAAGTTTGAAACCAGACTGAGCTACAAAGTGAGCTCAAGTCCAGCATGAACTGTATAACAAGACCCTGTCTAGATAGATAGATAGATAGATACATACATACATACATACAGTAAAAGGCAGACTTCACATATTTAAATTATTTTCTTAAAGTAAAGCAGTTTGGGGCCACGGAGATGGCTCAGTGGAATAAGCACTTCCCTGGCAAGTGCAAAGACCTGAGTTCAATCCCTGGTTCCGCAAAAAAAAAAAAAAAAACAAGTAAAGCAGTCCATTAACCATTATCAATCTTTTCCTCATGCTGCATCACGTTAGAGAACACTTAATTGCTAAGTAAGAAGCTTAGATGTGAGCCTGGGAGCATGTACAAACAATGGAACATCCTCTTTGCTTACAGCGTATTTTCTTTTAGGAAATATACCCGAATTTCAAAAGACTTCTAGGAAAAGACGTTTTAGTCTCCTGAACAATTTGGTTCCACAGGATGAAACTGCTTCAGCTGACTATTTTAGACTTACGTCCGACAGAGCACGCACTGAATGAAAGCACAATTTAATGCCACTGAGAGCGGGAAGGAAGTCTCAGGAAAACAGCTTCCTAATGCAGCAGCTCAGAAATATAATAAAACCTGCACTTACGCTGGGACGACGTGTTCCCTGAACTTGAAGATAACAGGACATTTTTAAGTTCCAAAAGAACACAAGTGGTGGCTTCACTCATGAAGGTTATCTGCTGGTGGAAAGAACAAATTAATTTTAAAGAGCTGTGGCCCTCCAGCAAAATTCTATTTCAAGCAACTGAGAGGACAGGAAGTTGCATGCTCTACATCAGCTGTGACACACTCCCTTTGCTCCTGAGAATTTGGCTGTAAGCTCCTCCCTCTCCTTGGTTTTTTAAAAATTTAATACAATGAATCTGAATATCTTTGCATCAAAGACAACATGAGGTTAAAGTCGCGTTTCTATCCTCACCGACACTGAACTTCTTGGTAAAATTATAGAAGCTGTAGAAATGGGAATGAATGCTTTACAAATTGACAGGAGAACAAACAAGGGCAGTGACTAGAAAACTGCAGCGCATCGTGGGAGCCCTAGGAGTTTAGAATGCCAGCCTGCTTACTTTCCAACCGACTGCGCGCACATCTTTGACCTACTTCTTGATAGCTTCACACCTACGTATGTTGCATTTTCTATAGCTTGTGTGTTTCTCTCCACTGACTCTCTGGTTCCGTGTCCTCCCAATTTAACGTGGCTTCTCCTCTTTGGATGGGAAACCCAGGTTCGAACAGATGGAATGATACTGCGATCCTCTGATAAAGAGCCTGGACTCTACCACTGCTCCCGCCTGCGCTGCTGTGTGGTACGCAGTGCACCAAAGCTGCCTATTTCGTCCACGGATTCAGAAACGATCGTGTGCTCTAGGCCATATTTTTCTCACAGAATATAGTCTGCTTTATACAAAATGAAAAAAAAAAATGTGAATAGATACAAACCCAGAATTTTTCTAAAATGTCAGCCACTCCCTTCTATGAAAAGCAGTGTTTTAAAATATGATTAGAATTCTGAGTCTAGGGTAATGGTAAACATTATGTTTTTGCATTATCATGAGACGGCAAAATTACTTACTCTGAAAGGACCAGCTGCTGCAGAGCGGCTGGCACCAGGCTGCCCACATTCTCAAAATTATTTTAATT